ATCAATGATGCTGGCCTCCGTGGACCTTGTGCGGGGTCCTCTTGTGGCACGTGTGGGCCCTCTTGAAGGCCCTCTCAGGCTGCCTTGGCGGCATGCGAATACGGGAGTTGTACGATATTCGAGCGGGTGCGCGTAGGATGAGGGGTTTAGCGGGTAAGCAGCCATGCGGGACATGCACAATACTTGAGCGGGCGCGCATGGAACGAGGGTTCAGGCAGTAGCTGCCATGCGGGAAGCGCACCATCCTCGAGCGAGCACGCGTGGAATGTGAGTTTAGGCATCCGCTGCCATGCTGGACGTGCACCATGTTCTAGCGGGCACGAGGGAAGTGGCCTCGGCAAATGTGTGTGTGTGTATGTGTGCGTTTGTGTGTGTGTTTGTGTGTGTTTGTGTGGGTGTTTGTGTTGGTGTATGTGCTGGTGTTGGTGTTTGTGGTTGTGCGCGTGCTTGTGTTTGTGTCTGTGTCTGTGTGTGCCTGTGTCTGTGTCTGTGTGTGTGCGTGTGCGGATGCTTGTGTGTTGTGTTTGTGTTTGTGTTTGTATGCGTGGTTGTGCATGTGGTTGGGTTTGTGTGTGGTTGTGTTTGCTTCTGTGTGTGCGTTTGTGTTGGTGCTTGTGTTTGTGTTTGTGTGTGCGGCGGGTGGGGCATGCGGCTGTCTACTACTACAGGGAGGGGCGTCCCTTCATTAGAATTCTCAAAACCCAACCAGACAGCCCTTTGCATTCTTCCACGCCTCGGCGTGCCAGCGGGCACGGCGGCGGATCCCAAGGGGACCTCGTCTCTCAACATCCCGCAGTGAATCAGTTGCTGAAGATTGTGGCCCAGCGATCCTCGACCAGATATCGCCCAACTACGCGGGGGCACCAGGTACACCAACAACACGGCCAAGCTGACAGACATCACCGAAGTGGTGTTCCCCCCATCTTGATTTAGAGTAAAGCAGAGGCATTATCCGACCCCGTTCTGCCATCCACATTCGTGCTGAGGGCAGCGCTCTTATCCACCCCGTCGGTCGCTACGTGCTTGGGCTATGCGAAGGCCGCTTCCTGCCTAAGGAGAACGTGCTACTCAGCAAGAACAGGGTCCATGTGATTGGATATCCCCAGCTGTTCATCAATGCCGGGGGGTGAAGAATAATATGATCGCCGTGCTCCCGTTTTCGCTCTCGCCATTCTCTTCCTTGTCGCCATCCTGTCAATTTCGCTTTTCCCAACATTGTTGAATCGCGTCGCTCATTCCACTTGCCCATACTGTCTCACCGCTGTCGGTTGCCCGAGCGTGCGGTGTCAATGCGGTCCTGTTGGGCGGCGGCCGTTTTCCTGGGGCGATGCATGAGAAGCGTGTCCCGAGGCTGAACGGTTGCTGGTGAAATATTTTCTGGGGGTCCGTCGCGGACGTTTGCTGTGTTGTTTGAGCAGTCGTGGGCGCCCATGGGGTTTGTGCATGCGTTGCTTGTGCCGTTGTGGGGCGCATCGTCTATTCATGTTCGCCCGGGGGGGGTGGGCATTCCGAAGATTGGAGCAATTCCGTGCAGGCTTTGAGCTTTCCTTTCGGAGGGTGGTGGTCTATGAATGCGAGCACAGGCAACAAGACAAGCCGTATCATGTCTCCGTCTCTTCTTCTCTCGAAGTCCTCCCTCCGCGTGCTTCCCGTTCTCGCGTGCGGGGGTAGCAACGTCGAGTTGCGGTGTGGAAGGGCTGGGTGGAGGAGAAGGAGGAAGACCCATATCAGCTCCAGGAGGAGCAGGAGGAGGAGGAGGAGGAGGAGGATGTTTCAGAATCAGGAGGACTAGGAATGAGAGGGGGGAAGCACCCGACATGCGCGGGAGGGGGGGGGCAGGAGGAGAAGGAGGAGGAAAAAGGAGGAGGAGGAGGAGGAGGAGGAGGAGGAGAAGAACGAGGAGGTGGAGGAGGAGGAGGACCAGTCTAAACCCAAGGCTCATCAACGATGTTGAAATATACCCTCCCCCCAAGATCCTTCTTCACAGGCCCCTATAAGGGATCATTTCCACTGACGGAATTGCCCCATTGGGGGGCAGCCGTGTGAACATTTTGAAGTGCGCCAAACCACAATTTCCAGTACTTCAGCGCCACGAGTCAACCTCCCTGCTACGCCTTGGCGACCCTGAATCGTGCCAGAACACCGCTCTTGGGATTTCAACAGCGCGAATCCACGTAATTGTCGCGCCCTGACAATCTTGAACCGTTCCAAAACACACGTTCTGGTACGTTGATCATGCGAACCATTGAAACGCATGCAAACGTTGAGAAAGAATGTGAACGGGACTGATGCGAGAGCCTCATTTTGAAAAGGAGCCGCCCTCAATCCGTGAAGTTCTTGCACAAATCTAGAAAACAACGTGCTCGGCGCTAAGGCGAGAGCCACAGTGCGAAACCCACCCGCTCTCAAACCGCGAAGGTCTTGCAATGTTTCAAAACTGTTGTGTGCGGCGCTAAGGCGAGCGCCATTTTGAAACGCATATGCCTTCAATCCGTTAACGTACTGCTAGCTTTGAGAATGAATGTGCGCGGTGCTAAGGCGAGAGCCGCATTTTGAAATCCACCCGCCCTCAATCCGCCAAGCCCTTGCAAAACTTTCAAACGAATGCGTGCGGCGCTAAGGCGAGAGCCACATGCTGAAAATGGCCCGCCCCCAATTCGTGAAACTCTTGCATCTGTTTAGAACGGATGCACGCGGCGCTGTGGCGAGAGCAACATTTTCAAACCGACCCGCCCGTAAACCGTTAAACGCTTGTAGACATTATGAGACCGATGTGCGCGGCGCTAAGGCGAGGGCCACATTTTGAAAACGACCCGCCCTCTTTTTGTGAAACTCTTGTCAAAGATGAAGTATCCACGTCATAAATGGTGAGGGCGTCTCAGGCGAAACGCCCCGCCCGCCCTTTCGAACGGCCCCGGGGTGCGACAGGGGCGAGCTGTGTATAAAGAAAAGGCATGGAAATGACGATGAGAGGTGGAGGCGGAGGAGGAGGACGAGGACGAGGAAGAGTAGGAGGAGATGTGTTTCAGTTTTTCGCGGGAGCTATTACTTGGATGGTCTCTTGGGATCTTCATGCAAGTTATGTGGTAACTTTCCTGGGGCATCTGGGGTCCTCTGGGGCCTTGCCACCAACCATGATCTCACTCAAGGACTTGGCCGCGAACTGAAGTGCTTCGGGGAAAGGCTTGGGGCCATGATGGGTCTCTCTTCGGGCCGTCCTGGGTGCCCTCATTTGTTGTTCCTTTTGGTGCGATTATCGTGGCCTCTTGGGCGGTCTCGGAAACCCGAAGAACCAAGAACGCCAACATCACGCACAACGTTCATAAACAAATCCATGTTTGTCCGTTTGAGTGGTCCCTTGGGGGTCCTCTCTGGGTCGTCTTCGGGCGTTTTGGGGGTGTTTGGGGGCCAGACCGCTCTAGACCTTTTTGTTCGAGGCCCACCAGGGTACGTCCAGGAGTACCAGAAGGCCGAGGGAAGAACCTGCATGGTGCGCCCATGGGGCCCAGGGTGGCCGAAATTCGTTGGGGTAGCCCACGGTCTGTGCGGAGTCCTCCACCCCAGTCGAACATGAAAATAGTCATATCGAATGGTCCTCGGCCCATCCCACCACCCAGGCAGTCCTGGAGCGTCGGGAAGCCAAACAGGCGAGACCGCCCAAACCTCACAACAGCCAACAGAAAATCAACGAGTGTAGCCTCTTGGGAGGCACCTTGGGGACCTCGTGGGGCGTCTTGGGGGCATACTCGGCCGTCTGGCGGCCATCTTGGACGTCTTGGAGCGATGGTTCGGTGACGCGGGGCCGTCCGACTTGGGCGCATCTTTGGGGTCCTCTTGGCCCGTCTTGGGGCCTTTGGGGGGCGTCTTCGGAACCCCTTGGGCCGAACAATTAATTCATGCGGGAAGACGCGTAGGAGCCCAGGGGAGCCGCGCCAAGCCCAAGAAGATTTGAGAATGTGGGCCCAGGCCACCAAGAAACTCCCGAGGCTTGATGACTGAGGCTCAGGGGATGGGCCCCCCGAGAACACGCCCACTCTGTGCCCAAGGGCACGGTGGCGGATATTGTGCACATCTTGTCCATGTTGTATGTGTATATATATATATGTATATAAATATATAGAGAGAGGGGGGGCAACAACAAATTGTCAAAGAGGAGAGAGGGAGAGAGAGAGAGAGAGAGACACACACACACACACACACACACACACACGCACACCTACACGCACCGAACCACCAAAAGAAAACGAGGCAGGCAGACAGACAGGCAGACAGAGAGATATAGACAGAGAGAGGGAGAACAACAAAAAAGATAGCATCATACTTATTGCGTTGCCCCCGTTGTCGCTCCTATCTACATATTCCTTGTGTTACGTATGCCTTCCACTTTTTGTTGGTTACTCGTGCTCGCCCTTTCCTGTGACTCATTTCCATTGTTCTTCAGTTTTTTGTGGGGATCACCCTTGGGAGGTTTCCTGTGGGCTTTTCGAAAGATGTTTGGAGGCTTCTCGGGGCGTCTGGAGTATATTTTGGACGTGCCAGCCTTAACACAGCACGCTACGGAACGCCAAAGGAACCGAAGGAAACAAAGTGCCATGTCAGTGCGATGCCCCCGTCGCTTGAAATGGCCAAGAGCGCATGTTGCAGCGCTTCTGACCTGCAATTTGCCATGGTGGAATCATTCCTTCGAACCTGGAATTGATCACCCTGGAAAGTCAGGGAACGCATCAGTCGAAGGGATGTTCTGTCACACTGCCACCACTGTTCCGATATGTCTGTCCCGGGGAAACGTCGCGAGTCTCTGGACAGCCAGGGGAGAAGGAAAGCCAGGGTACCGAGAGGGAGGAACTATCGAAGTCTCGTGTCTGGTCCCGCTTGTTGGTAGATCCACGTCTCCAAGCAGGATCTGTTGGTGTTGTGTGAATTTTTGACATCCCAGGGGAGCCACCAGACGCAAGGATGCGGACGGTGGTCCACGTCCGTACCGCCCCTGACCCCACGAGGAGCCCAACTCGAAGCCCCCCGCTGGGCAGGACGCGCCTGACCCGCACCCGTCCGTGCCCAACTTGGTGTTCGACACGTTCGTCCACATACCGTGGCGCCCGGGGGAGGGCGGCGGCTGATTAGACGAGCCCGGAAAGTCGCGGCCTTGGAAATATTTGGAGGCAATTGTTCAGGTGCTTGCGGCAAGTCCCGCCACGGTGCCAGCGCAGCACTTTGTTCATCGCCCCCTCTGGAGCCGTTCGGACGGCCGTATCGTGTGGTGGCTCTCTTCATGTGACCAGAGGGCCGCATCATGCGACGATTTCTTCGTCGTGTTTTCAAGGCTTTGACGTGTGATGGTTCGCTCCCTCGGGACACAAAGGGACACAAAATGAGATATCTATCTGTGTTTCCCTCTCTCTCTCTTTCTATATCTCTCTCTCTCCTGTCCCTCTCTCCCTCTCTCTCTCTCTCTTTCTCTTTACTTTCCTGTACATATATTCCTCTTAATACCTGTTTACAAGCCGGGGGGCAGGAAAAATCTTCCAAAAAAATAACGGACTCCTCGGGATCCTGGGCTTTGAGGCCCCCTGGACGCCCTTGGAAGAGGTCAGGTCCCCCAGCCTTGCCTCGCCTCCCAGGGCGCCTTGCCGGTCCTTGCCCAGCAGCCCCAAAGTGATCACAGACGTGGTCGAAGAGGCGCAGGAGAGCCCCAAGACAGTGCAAGACGTCTTCAAGACGGCCCAACAGGCCCCCAAGACCGCCTAAGAGGCCCCCAAGATGCCTCAAGAGGCCTTCAGGAGGGCCCACAAGAGGTACAAATCTCCCGATTGGGGAAACGTGCATTTTCAGCATATGCGCTTTCAGTGTCGTAGCAGCGTTCACGACGGCCCAAGAGGCCTTCGAGATTGCCCCAAGACGTCCCAGAGGCCCCCAAGAGGGCTTCAAAACAGCCCGAGGGTCCCAATATTGCCCCAAGTCGGACCAAAAGAGACGAGGCCCTCGAAGGCTCCCAAGAGAGACCCAGGCGGGCCATGGGACATTCCAGGAGGGCCCAAGATGACCCCAAGAAGGCCCGTAGAGGGCCCAAATTCTCCAAGAAGGCCAGTACGGCCCATGAGGGACCCAAGACGGCCCAAACGGGCTTCGAAAGGACCCCCAAGACGGCCCAGAGAGGCGCCCAGGAGGCCTCCAGAGGTCCCCAAAGACCTTGAGAGGCATTCGTGAGGCCCGCAAGAGATTCTCCAACGAGGAGCCTCCGCAAAAGACGTGCCCGCCTGTGCTGCATCGTGGGCGCTCGTGAGCTCCACTCCATATAGCTTCAGCGGTTTGTTCTCTTCGCGTAGCGTCCACAACGCTGTTCCCAACATATGGTTCATACCACCTTTCCTGCACCATACAACTTACATCCTGTAGATATCACTACATCACCCGCGCTACATCGGTTACACAACACATAGCTAACACCGAAGAGCTTTCTCCGCATAGCTCACGCCACACGGTTGCCACAACATTGCTCACATCACATAGTGTAAGCCGCAGAACTTTCACCGCCGGAGTTCCTCATTATTCGGGGTCTACGGTGGTTCATGTATTTGTTGGTTTTATGCCGTTGGGGACCGCTGGAAGCCGCCAGGCTTCTGAGAGTTTCTGCAATCTTCGGAGGTTTGGGTTCGACGTCCGCCTCCAGAAGCCTCTGCAACCCAGGGGGTCTGAAAAACATATCCGGGAGTGGAAAAAACACCCCCCAAGAAACAATATTTCCTGCATAACGGTTGGTGACATCGTGTCGACGCGGTGGCGACACTGGCGCGGGCGTTCGGAATGAACGCGGCCATTGGTCTGGAATCGGCCGGTGATGAACGGGAATGCGCGATCGTTCACGGCTGAATGATCCAAGTCGTGTCAAAAATCGACGCGCAGGCCGTTACGACACCTGCCGGCGCAGGATCCAGCGAAGAGGGCACGCGATATTTCTCAACGTTTTTTCGGAACCTTCACTTGGCGTTCTCGTCGCCACGTCATCGAGGCTGGGGAAGAGAGGACGGATGGCAGGAAGGGACAAGTGGAAGGGAGGAGGATGAAGCAAAAGAGGGAGTAGCAGGAGGGGGGTTAGGAGCAGAAAACACGTGGCAGAACCAGACGGGAAGATCGGGCGGGTAGACCCTAACGGGCGCGTCGGGAAGCCGGGCCCAGGCGGCCAGGTCGAGCAGGCAGGTTGCTGAAGCGTGCGTCCTGCATGAATCGCGAGGAAGTCCCGAGCGATAGCGCAATTCCCGAAGAAATCCACAGCGAGAGCGTGATTCCTGAGTGTCGAGGGCGCGGCGTCTGAATAAATGGCGAGGATGTATCACGCGAGAGCGCGATTCCTGTACTGATTGTGAGTGTTGTTGTACACCGGGGGCCGGGGGCCCAGTTTGGTGATCCTTCGCTTTTCCCTTTAGAATACAGGGCGCGACCTACGGAGAAGCACTTCAAGGAAAAAATACAAGGGTTACTGGATGGGGGACCAACAATAGTCAATATTTGGAGGCAGGAGTTCATCATCGACAGCAACAATCATATTCAGACTGTTCGTTCCTACCTGCTCGCGCGCCACTCGGCACGTATGTCCCAAGCCCTCGATACCCGCCCTTTTCGTCTTCGACCGTGCCCCCTTGGCGGTATGTCTTTCTTGCCTGCCACGTACACTCAGCGGATGGATGGGGGAGGGAGAGGGAGGGGACACGAGAGAGATTACGGTAGGTTTGCGTCGTGTCGACCAGCGGCGACCCCAGCGCGGGCGTTCAAGGTTGAACGCCGCCGGCGACCCAGAATCGATCGATGTTGAACGATCGGACGTTGCGGCAGCGGCCGATCGTTCAAGGTTGAACGATCCCTGCGGTGTCAAAAACCAACGCTGGGGTCGGCACTACACGAACCTGCCGTAGCATGACGCGGGGGCCAGGAGCAGAAAAGAAGTGGCAGACCCAGACGGGCTGATCGTGCTGGTAGACCCTACAATGAAAGGAGGGTCGGGAAGGCGGGCCAAGGCGGCCAGGTCGAGCAGGCGGGTTGCTGAAGCATGCGTTCTGCATAGATCGCAAGGAAGAGCGAGAGCGTGATTCCTGAGCGTCGAAGGCGCGGCGTCGGAATAAACTGCGAGGACCTCCCACGCGAGAGCGCGATGCTTGTACCTACTGTGAGAACGTCCCGCACAAGAGCGCGATTTCGGAACGAACTGTGAGGAAGTATCAGGCGGTAGCCGGTGTTGTTGTTGTTGTTGTTGTTGCTGTTGTTGTTCTTGTAAACCGGGAGCCCGGGGCCCAGTTTGGTGACACCCAGTTTTTCTTGCATAAAACAGGGTGCAAGCCCCAGGAGGAGCATTTTAGTTGAAAAATACAATCGGTACCGGAGAGGGAGGGCCAACAACACAAATTCCTCAGAGATGACACTTTGATAACAGCAACAACATCAACAACAACAATAGCGCTAATAATGACAACAACAACCACAACCGTCACATGACACGATCAACAGCAGCAGCAGCAACAACACCAACAATGACCATCATCTTAACATTGCTCTTTCTTATCTGCTAGCGTGCCACTCAACACATATATCCAGACCCTCGTTACCCGCCTTCTTCGTCATCGATAGTGCCCCCTTGGCGGTATATATGTATATATCGTTCTTATTTGCAACGTGTATTTCGTGCAGCCGCCTACGGCTGGGGAGACAACAATCCGCACCGCAGCACCTCACTACAGCCACGCGCCCAGAGGCAGTGGATGACCGTTCGGCCACCTCGCTCTGATGTGCCGCACACTGGTATCAAAGGAACGTCATGCACGGCTAAACCAAGCCCCGTGGAGTGCGTTTATAATGATGCCATCCCAAAGAACGCATCATGTTGACCGCATGTACGCGAATTCTTCCGTATGATCACCACGCGATAGATACAGACTTTATTTACGCACATGCATGTGCACCAAGAATGCAGTGGTCACGCGCACGGCATAGCTTGCACGGGCGCGCGCTCGCCCACCATATTCATGCACACGTAATATCAAATCCGTGTCCTTTGTATGGCACGTGTTGTAGAGTGGGTGTTGCCCCGTATGTGGTGCAAAGAGCATGGGCCCAAACTTCTCGTAAAGGACACCCGCAAGCCGCACACGGCGCATCACGTGCGCAACATCATAAATATGCATGCCAGCCATGTAAATTGCTCATTGCGTGGAGCTCCACATATGTGTATCTCATGTTTTATGTCATGCCATAGGGAGCGTCTGGTCATGAACGTTTGACTATAGTAGCGCGTCCACGTGGGCGACACGGCCGACGAAGGCGAGGGAATCCTAATACGAGTGAGTGAGTATGAGTCAGAGTGAGCTTTGTCTCAAAATCTGCTCTGAACGCAAAGGATGTTGGGCATGAACACGAGCAAGCCGCCTGAGACATCCCCACAAATTGGCCGCGAACGGGCCCGTGCAAACACCCCTGGCGGCGCCCCTTAGGGGTGCTGAAACCAGCGCCCCGCCTGAGACCTCTTCAAAATCTGATATGAAAGCCAAGGATGTTGGACATGAAAACGAGCAAACCGCTTGAGAAAGCTCCACACATTGGCCGCAAACAGGCATGTGAAAACACCCCTGGCGGCTCCCCTAAAATCTGTTCTGAAAGCCAAGGATGTTGGACATGAAAACGAGCAAACCGCTTGAGACATCCCCACAAATTGGCCGCGAACGGGCCCGTGCAACCACCCCTGGCGGCTCCCCTTAGGGGTGCTGAAACCAGCGCCCCGCCTGAGACATCCTCAAACTCTGTTCTGAAAGCCAAGAATGTTGGGCATGAAAACGAGCAAACCGCCCGAGACATATCCACAAACTGGCCGCGAACGGGCCCGTGCAAACACCATTGGCGGCTCCTCTTAGGGGTGCTGGAACCAGCGTCCCGCCTGAGACATCCTCCAAATCCGCTTTGAAAGCCAAGGATGTTGGGCATGAAAACGAGCAAACCGCTTGAGGCATCATCACAAAGTGGCCGCGAACGGGCCCGTGCAAACACCCCTGGCGGCCCTCATAGGGGTGCTGAAACCAGCGCCCCGCCTGAGACATCCGCAACATCTGCTTGAACGGCAAGGATGTTGGGCATGAAAACGAGCAAACCGCTTGAGACATATCCACAAACTGGCCGCAAACGGGCCCGTGCAAACACCCCTGGCGGCTCCCCTTAGGGGTGCTGAAACCAGCGCCCCGCCTGAGACATCCTCAAAATCTGTTCTTAAAGCAAACGGTGTTGGGCATGAAAGCGAGCAAACCGCTTGAGACATCCCCACAAATTGGACGCGAACGGGCCCGTGCAAACACCCCTGGCGGCTCCCCTTAGGGGTGCTGAAACCAGCGCACCGCCTGAGACATCCGCAACATTTGCATGAAAGCCAAGGATGTTGGGCATGAAAACGAGCAAACCGCCCGAGACATCCCCACAAACTGGCCGCGAACGGGCCCGTGCAAACACCCGTGGCGGCGTCCCTTAGGGGTGTTGCAACCAGAGTCCCGCCTGAGACCCGCCTGCATATCAGTAAGTCTGTGTGGGAGTAAGTTTGTGTATGTGTACGTCTGGGTATGAGTAAGTCTGAGTATGAGTAGGTCTCAGTATGAGTAAGTCTGTGTGTGAGTAAGTCTGGACATGAGTAAGTCTCGTATGAAGAGACGAGAAGAGGAGGGGACGAGAAGAGGAAGGAGGGGGAGGAGGAGTAGGAGGCGTCCAAATAATAGCAAGAACCCCATCTTAGGATATGGGGAACAAAGGGTGCCTACACGATGTGAGTTTCTTGTCTTTTGTCGGTGGCCACAAACACGTCATGCGCATCGCGTGTTTCCTTACATCATAAGGTACGCACCACTTGTGTGTGGGCGTGCGCATGTAATAAACTGCGGGCCCGTGCTGTTGGCAGACGCTTGGCTTGCCATTAGTTGCCAAACTGTGCATCCAGTTACTCTCGCGTTTGTCCGCCACAGCGCCTGGCGGTATAGTCTAGGGCCGTAAACAAGAGATTGTTTTTTGTTCTGCCAGGACCCAATCACTGCGCCGCTCTGCCGCATGAGCCCAGCATCGGTGTCGCATTGAGTGTTATTGTAGGCGCAGGCGTCGGTTTCACATGAGGATGCGGCGTGCACGTACGGAGCGATGCCGAGCAAGGTCCAACGCACCAATTTCGCTGAACAGGCACATGCACGCGAGAGGGCCCCAACACCGCTTCTTCAGTAAAGCGGCACAGCGCGGTGTGAAGGCGCCTCGTGGGGAGCACGAGGGCTAGGCCAGGCCTGTGGCGGCCGCGAGCGCCGGTGGGGCTTGCGCCTGCGCGCTGCAGGGGCACGGAGAGGGTGCTGGGCGGGGCCAGTATCGGCATCGGGCGCTTAGGGTTAAGTCGGGCATGTCCCTCTCCAGGAAGAAAATTCAAAAATATTCTAAAAAATATATGGGGACGATTTCTCAACTATTTTTGTCAATTTTCTGCGTATTTTTGACTCGATTGGAGAGGCCTGACGGCCGGTGCCGCCGACCCTGATCGAAAGGGCTAGGAGTGGGTGGAGGAAGCGGAGGATGAGGAGGAGGAGGAGGAGGAGGAGGAGGAGGAGGAGGAGGGGGAGGAGGAGGAGGAGGAGGAGGAGGAGGAGGAGGAGGAGGAGCAGGAGGAGGAGGAGGAGGAGGAGGGAAGTGCATCCTTTGTGTGCCCGCTCGAAGAAAGTGCGCCCCGGGAGTGTGATATTCTGACTTGGGACGTGCTCCCGGAAGAGGAAGAAGTGCATCTCGGGCGTGCCCGCTCGAGGAAAATGCGCCCTAGGGGGGTGGTATTTTGACTCGGGGCCCGCTCCCGGGACGCCTCTGAGGAGGAGGAGGAGGAGGAGGAGGAGGAGGAGGAGGAGGAGGAGAAGGAGGAGAGGAGCAGGAGGAGGAGGAGGAGGAGGAAAAGGAGGAGGAGGAGGACCAGGAGGAGGAGGAAGTGCATCCCGTGCGTGCCCGCTCGAGGAAAGTGCGCCCCGGCGGGCGTCGTATCTGCCCCGCCCCCCCCCCCTCCCCCTCCCCTGCGGGGAAGGGATCAAAGGGAAGGGGCTTCCCTTCGACTCCACTACGACGTCGTTTAATTTCGCTTTGGATAGCGCGCTTGAGGAGGAACGCCCTGGGAGGGGGAGAACGGAGACGACGGAGACGACGAGTCGAACGGAGAAGCCCCTCACACACGCCGACAGGGTCGGCGGATTTGATTTTTCTTCCAAAATACCCCTGTAGGAGGACATGCCCGACCTAAGCCTAGGGGAGGAAGGCATGGGGCTGGGCGACCAGAGAGTGTTGGCGGCGAGCTCCTCGCAGGACGGGGACATGGGGCTGGGCGAGGCCCGTTGCGGCGACGAGCCTGTTGGGATGCAAGCCGCAGGTCTGGGCGAGACAAGTGGCGACGACGAGCCTGCAGAGGGCGCGAGCCAAATCTTTCGAATCGAAGCAGGAGGGCCCAGTGCAGACGCTGTTTGGAGGAAGCTAGCAGGCCCTGCCAGAATGCAAGCTGAGACTGAGCTGGCAGTCGCACGGAAGCCTAGAGTGCTGTGCAAGCGCATGGTCAGGTTTCGTCGTTCACGCAGTGTTGTTTTCAAAGAAGAAAACGCCATGAACATAAATTGTTGGCGTTCCGCGCGGATTTCTTGGATCCGCGCTGGGCCCCGCTGGCGGCGCCTCCGGCGCCCCTGGCGCCAGAGGCGCGCCAGGGAGGGGGGTCCAGCGCAAATCCAAGAAATCCGCGCGGAGTGCCCAAAGTTTCTATTGCTGCAGTTGTTTCTTCTTCGATGCTTGCATTGTTTTCCTCATCCTCCCCCTCCCCCTGATCCCTAGACTGCCGACGCCCTGATCGGCTCCGCGCGCGGGGTTGCGGAGCTCTCGATCCCCCGCCTTTCCCAGGAGATCCGCGCCGTGGGGCCCGTTGGGGCCGTGGGCCCCAACGGGCCCCCCGAGCTGGCACACCCCGAGGCCCGCGCGCGGGAGAGCTCTTTTGCCGGCAGCCGTGGTCTGCTTCGGCATGCCCGGGGGCGTGGCCTCTGCTCCTGCCCATCCCGCCAAACTCAGGAGGGAAAGAAACACACAGACACAATTAATCGGCGATTCCCAGAAAATATGGGAAAGTATAGGAAGTGGGAGGGAAGACAAAAGCCCAGAAAATATGGGAAAATATGGGGGATATTTTTGTTTGTGTGTATTTATTTGTGTGTCCCAGTTCCCCTTCACAAACGCCCGAGCTGAGTCGATGCCGATCTCGCCCTGCTCGGTCCGATTCGGTCTCGATCCTCGGGCGACCCGACGCGGTGCGACGCCTGCACGGCCTGCCCGGGCGTGGCCGAGCCGATCCGGATTTGGGGGTCCGAGCCCGTGCGGTCCGATGCACGATGCGACCCGATCTTGCTGGTCGATGCAGGCTGCCCTTGTCTCCTCCCTCCGCCTCCCTCCTCACTCCTTCTCCTCCTCCTCCTCCTCCTCCACCTCCTCCTCCTCCTCCTCCTCCTCCTCCACCTCCTCCTCCTCCTCCTCCTCCTCCTCCTCCCCCTCCTCCTCCTCCACCTCCTCCTCCTCCTCCTCCTCCTCCTCCCCTCCCCTCCTCCCTCCTCCTCCTCCCTCCTCCTCCTCCTCCTCCTCCTCCTCCTCCTCCTCCTCCATTCCTTCTCCTTATAGATAACTTCTCCCTGTCGCACCCCGAGGTCTGTTTTTAGCGCGGGCCGGGCGCTTCGACTGAGAATTCTTCACCACTGATGGCTCTAAAGCGCAAAAGGTGACAACAGCTTCACAGATGGAGGGCGGGTGGTTTTCGAAATGTGGCTCTCGCTTTAGCGCCGCGCACATTCGTTTGAACAAATTGCAAAAGCTTCGCTGATTGGATGGCGGGTCGTTTTCAAAATGTGGCTCTCGCTTTAGCGCCGCGTGCATTCGTTTTTTCTAAACGTGCAAGAGTTGCACGGATTCAGGGCGGGTGGTTTTCAAAATGTGGCTCTCGCTTCAGCGCCGCGCACATTCGTTGAAACAAATTGCAAGAGTTTCACGGATTGAGGGCGGGTGGTTTTCAAAATGTGGCTCTCGCCTTAGCGCCGCGCACATTCGTTTTCAACTGTTGCCAGAGCTTCACGGATTGAGGGCGGTTCCTTTTCAAAATGTGGTTCTCGCCTTCGCGCCGCGCACATTCGTTTTAAACATCTGCCAGAGCTTCACGGATAGAGGGCGGTTCCTTCTCAAAATGTGGCTCTCGATTTAGCGCCGCGCATATGTTTTGAAATGTTGCCAGGGTTTCACGGATTGAGGGCGATTCCTTTTCAACATGTGGCTCTCGCTTTCGCGCCGCATTTGCAAGAGTTTCACGCAGTCCCATGATCAACGTGCCAGCAATGGTGTTTTGGAAGGATTCAGGATTATGCGGGTGCAACAGTTATGTTGATTCGCGGTGTTGAAGTCCCACAAATGACGCTCTGGCACGATTCCGGATCGTTAAGACGCAGCAGTCAGGTTGATACATGGTGTTGAAATCTTCCCGAGAACAATGTTTTGAAATGCTTCAGGATACTCAAACGGTTGTCTTCCAACGAGGCAGTTCCCTCAATGGAAAAGAACCGTTGCTGGGGCCTATGAAAAGGGAGCTTGGAGGGAGGGTTGATTCCAACACCGTTGATGACTCTTGGGTTTACACTGGTCCTCCTCCTCCTCCTTCCACTCCTCCTCCTCCTCCTCCTCCCCCTCCTCCTTCTTCTCCTCCTCCTCCTCCTCCTCCTCCTCCTCCTCCTCCTCCTCCGCGAGGGGGTGCGAGCGGCCTCTCTCATTGAAGCCCTGGCTGCCTGTCCCTCCCCCTTGCCCGTCGAGGCGCGAGATCGTGTGCGCGATGCTGCTCGCAGTGGTCCTGACTCCTTTCTGCGGGGCGGCGGCCATCGTCATCGCGCTCAGGAGCCAACCCTCGCGCCGCGAAGAGGGGCGGGGAGGGAGGGAGGGGGAGGCACGGTGAGGAGGGGGAGGAAGAGGTTGCGCCGGTCTCGCCTGCGGCCCTGCCGCACCTGGCGGGCGCCCGCGGCCGAGGGCCGGGCGGGCAAGGCGGGTGACCTGCTCTGCCCGCTCGGCGGCCACCCGCGGCGGCTGCGGCGTCTCGTTCGGTGGGGGGGGTCAGGGAGGCGGGAGGTTCCCAGGGCGCCGCCCAGGCGGCCGAGCGGGCGCATGCATGTCCTCGTGATTCTACGGGGTTCGCCCACCCTGGGATGGGCGAGAAAGAGAGAGAGAGGAAGAGAGAGGAAGAGGTTGGGGAGGAGGAAAATGAGGAGGAGGAAGAGGAAGAGGAAGAGGAGGAGGAGGAGGAGGAGGAGGAGGAGGAGGAGGAGGAGGGTAGCGCCGCATCATCGGAGACCCGTGTGTCCTGCGAGGCGCAAGGAGGAGGATAAGGAGGCATACGGAACAGGGAGGACGAGGAGGAGA